TGTACTAGTGGATTGTGACACAGTCTCAGGCTGAACAGCTGCTTCAAGCCTGCAAGAAAAGAACCAAAGCCAAACCAGTCAGTGAGTGGGGAATAACAGCTGCCAACTGAAGAAAGGAAAAACTACAGTGGTGTCACCCTTGGAGAGAAGTACACTGTCACCAGTGGTCTCAACTTGGTGCTCATGGGCTGAGGATGCAGCAGTTCAGCCTACCCAAGGCCTGGGGAGTGCAGAACAGCTTTGGGACAAACTAGTCACAGAGTTCTTTGCTCACTTATGGGTCCAGCCCAAATTCCCATCTTGTCACTGGTGCAAAGTCCAAAGCCTTCAGTCCCCCAAGCTGAACCTTGCAGCAGTGAGCTGTGACAGCACAGTGAGCTGTGTTCATGCTGTGAACAAGCAGCAGCCACAGCCGGGCAGTTGTCAATGGCCTTTCCAGCATGCAGGGCTCAGTACCCACTCCTGAGGGACATCCCAGCTATGAAAGGCTGAGCCTGTCCAGTGAGTGCTTGAACAGACTCCAAAGGGGCTTGACACCTGCACAGAACCCTTGGCACCAGGAAGCATGAGGAGTTCTTGATTTCTGCTGCACGTGGCCCTGATAGAAAAGGATACCTTCCTCTCTGCTCAGCAGCTCCTAGGAGATAAGACTCTCTGAATATACTTCCCTACTCTACTCTGGGCTAAAGGCAGACAGGAAGGTGCCTGAGCATCTGCCTGGCCTTGGACACCAGCTGAGAATGGAGTGGCAGGGCTGGGCCCTGGTTCCCTGTTGAGACTCAGGACATGGCTTTGCCAGCAGCAGCACTCTGTGGAAGCAGGTCCCATTGATCCACCTTCTTCCTGATGTGGTGGACAGAGGCTGACATGATTCATCAAGGTCCCATGTCAAAAGTCTGGAGCATCCCTCCTCCCTGCTCCCCATTTTCTTCTGAACTTCAGCTGCCAGGGAGAGGGTTCCAGTTATACATCAGCAGATGTTTTGGATGCCTGAGGGAGGTTATTTCAGCTGCCAACATAACCTGATGCTTGGAGATGGGTCAGGTCTAAATTGCCATGACAGAGCATTGGTGTGACCTCCCTGGCAGAGCCAAAGCAAGGTTAAACCATGTCAGTACATGGAGGTAACAGTATATAATAATATACACATATACAGCATTCTTGCAGCTAATGTATATACATACATTTGTAATATATAGGGGATACCTAACCATAAGTGTGCTTCTTCAACTGTGCTTACTTCCTTGAAATCATCACAAGTGTTAAACCTGTGCTGGAGAAGGTGGGAGAGGATGCTCTAGCTAAACACACACACTGTATGTGCACATGCATTCCTCTATGCACTGTGCATCATACTGGGCACACAGCACTATACAAGGTGTGAAACCATCTCTCCCAAGCTGTGGATTAGAGGATCATTCTCAGACTGTATGAGCATTCACCACTGAAACAAAAAGAAATAAAACCCCAAGAAGATGCTTTTTGATGGCTGAAGAACACAACAAGCATTCTTTGTTTTTCTATAAGCCCTATATCCCCCTTACCCTTCTCCTTTTTCTCCTCCTTGCTTGGCAGTAGGACCCACACTGGATTTCCATAAGTGCCATTTCTTCCTTTCCTGTCACTTAGATCACTGTTAACTTTGGAGCTGGGTGAACTCTCTGTGACAGGATGTTCAGCTCTGGTCCATCAACCTGGCTCACTCTGAGTCCCTAAGCCTGCTGTGAAGTGGCTCAGCAACAGAAAAAAATCCTTTTCCCTCTCCCCTCAGGTGTAGCCCCCAGCACGCTGTCTGAAGACAGCTCAGATAACAGGGAACAAGCTGCAGTGTCTCCAGATCATGGGATACTGGACAGACTCCAGGCCCCACTGAGGGCTCTGCTGCCCAGGGACCACATACTGGAAACGGGCTCTCCATTTCCATGAAGATTCCCATCCTTCAGACACACAATGACACCAAGTGAATGGCAGAAGCCGCTGTGCCATTCATGAGACACCCCCTTCACACAGGGAGAAAATGACACCACCCCTTCCTCAGCTCTTCTCCTCCCATACGGTCGCAGCTCCTGCCTCACACTAACAGGGAAAATATCCAGAACCCCTTGTGTTCCTTCACATCCCTATCTCCACAGCGTCCCCCATCCCTAGCCGAATCCTGCCCCAAAGCACACCTCCCGCGGGCAGCCACCAACACCAGGAGGAGCAGTTGTTTTCTCTCCCCAACCCATTAAGGACATGGCTGAACTTAGCAGAGTCCAGAAGCACAGGGAAAGACAGGAAAGGGAGGCAACAAGAGCAACAGCCAAGACAAGAACGCCACAGATAGAAATGATCTTTACCGGTAACGCTCGTGGCATCTCCTGGAAGCAGACTGCCACTGGTGTCTTCTCTCACCCTGGTCTGTGTCCACTGTCTGCTGAACTGCTTTCTCTGGAAGCAGAGCAGAGAGAGCTGTAGCCCTGTAAACTCTGTGCAGGTGTCAGCAAGCCCATTGTGAACTGCTGTAAACACTGATTATGTTAAATATGTGTACGCTTAGCATCATAAGGAGGTACATAAATAAGCTGTGGCATACAAATAAGTTGTGGTTTCCAAGCTTAAATCTGCAGGATGAGAAGTTAATAAAGCAGCTTTACCTGGGTGTGATATAATAGAGAAAACTAAAATTAGGAAGGTTTCCTTCCCTTCAGCACACACAATACTACATGGCTGTAGAGCTGGTCAAATCCATTTTGACAACAGATTTGTGGTAAAACAAAGGTCAGATTTAATTATTTGAGGTTTTTGTCAAAAATGCCTGTTATGCTTGTAGACAGAAGCAATAAAAGTTTCCAAAAGCTTTCATCAGGAGTAATTGCCAGCAATGTTTTGTGGAGGGCAGTTTTGGACCTCAGTTTCTGGGCCCTCTGCTCTCACATGGAGGAAGGGCAGTTTGTAAGGGGAGAATGTTAAATTAGATTTTGAAGTCAATGACCTATTTGCAATTCAGGCTGAGCAGGAGAAGTTTAGGGAAGAGATCCAGCACCCACAGAGTGGGCTGGGCTGGAGGAGAGTGACAAAATGAAAGGGAAGGCACGACTAAGAGCACCTGCTCCCTCAGGAGTATTGTGGGTCAGGATGAGGACTGCCACCCCCTCTCTTTTTGCATGTGGTCCCACATGCAGTCAGAGACCATCCTCGGGCACAGGACAGATGTGCCAAGCGTGCCAGCCACATAGCCACGTGTCTCCAGGGTTATCTGCTGTAGTGGTGTGTTTTTTGTTAGTATGCTTACTGTTTGATTTGCAATTTTATAATTTCCTTATGCTGTCCTTTTCGTCCCTGTCCTTTCCCCAGAACTTTCCTCACTCCTCCTTTCATTAAATGTCAATTTTTCCCCAAACCTGTCTTCCCTCGAGAAACTTCCCTGTCAATTTTGTATTTCTCCAAACTCTTATTAGTTCACTGAAGCTGTTTTCCTCCCTTGAAATTCTTTATTGGTATATACATTGTATTCCCTGCCTTGTTTTTCACTCCCAATTCTCCTGATTAGTTAAAGATTGTATCCTCCCTTGAGACCTGCCCCTGTATATAAGTTGTTGCTTGCCCCCAGTTTGGGGTCCTGGGACACCGAGAGGTGAAGTTTTAACATTGAATAAAGGTAGTAGGATGTTCCACGCCAGGACCCATGGTGCTGCTCTTTTGTTTCCATGCCGAACTTCCACTGGTAGCTGGGATTTTGTGGGGTTCAGAAGAGGGATGTCACACTCCTGTCTGTCATCATCTAGCTGGGACAAGCGGCAATCTGCCATGGCACTGGGACCTTCCTACTGACCCCACTTCAGGGCTCTGCAGACACAGTGTTCAGAAGAACCGTCCCTTTGCACTCATTAAACCAATGCCCAAAGACAGCTCTTTGATTTGCTGTAGGTTTGCCAAAAACAAATGGGCCACAGGGAAATGTCCACTTGCCTGATGGATAATGCAAACACTTAGAGCGGGACTCTGGATGCTAAGAAGGACCCTGAATACTTGGTATACAGATATTCATGCATGAGATGGCAAAGCCAGAAGCAGTACCCATCACTCTTGGCTGAAGTAGCAGAAGCAAATGCCTGCATGGGAGAAGGAGATTTCAGCAGCCACAATCTTGTTTGGCTCAACTCTCCAATCTCTTCCACAATATTCTCAGTGTTTCCAGGAGTGTTTTTTCCTGCTCAAAAACAAAACAAGAAAGGAATAACCCATCAAGCACCCCTTGACCTGCCCCATGGGTCTGAGAGAGGAAGAAGAAAAGAAAGACATTGAGGAGCTCAAACATGTTCAGAGAAGGGAACAGAGCTGGGGGAGGCTCTGGAGCACAACTCTGATGAGGAGCAGCAGAGGGAGCTGGGAGTGGCTCAGTCTGGAGAAAAGAAGGCTCAGCAGGGACCTGCTGGCTCTGCACAACTCCCTGATGGGAGGCTGCAACTAGAGGGTGTTCAGGCTCTGCTCCCAGGGGACAAGGGGAAACAGCCTCAATTGTGCTGGGGAAGGGCTGTAAAGCCCTAGTACAGCCTGCCCAGGGCAGTGGTGGAGTCACTGTCTCCAGTGGGGAGTTAGAAGACCTGTGGATGTGGTACCTGGGGACATAGGTTAGAGTAGCAGTGCTGAGTTAATGACTGACTTGATGATCTTAAAGGTCTTTTCCAGCCTTAATGATTTCATGTTCTGTGAATCCATGGTTCTGTGAAGCAGTGGAGGTTTCTTGGTCATAACTCTGATTAACACCAACACCATGGGGACGGAACTGTCACCTCCTGCTCTCAGCACCACCATGGCTGTTTTCAGACACCCCACCCAGCAGCGTGGTGTCCAACCCACCCAGCCCAAGGCCTTCAGTTATGCTGCTGTGAAACCACATGAAGAGCTAAGTTATTCTCCTCAGGGAGAATTCTTAAAATAGGTAACTTCCCTTGAAAGATAACTGTACAAATTGGCACAGTTTGCTCCAGAGTTTGGAAAAAAGAGCAAAAAAAGCACAGTTCATTCTTCTGATAAACACCACTAATGTGACTGACATGCACACAGAGAAGAACAGTGCTGCCCCCAAACCTGTAAACAAAGTTATTGTGAGTGATATGTTTCAAATAAGCAAATATTAGAGATTTCTGTAAAAGAAAGGAGTGAACTCTAACAACACAAAACTGTTGGCACTCAAACCCATCTAAACGCACACTGTCCTCCTGCAGCTGCATCAGAGCTGCCTGCAGACATGTCCAAGTCTTCAGGAGCTGGATCTCACCCTCCTGCACTGAAAGAACCGATCCAGGAACCTGCTCACTTGCACCTGTAATGCCTGATGAGGCTTTCCTAATTCCAGCTGAATGATAAATGCAAATACCTCAAAATGCAGATGTCATTTTCTAATAAATTCAATTCAGCAGCCACAGTATATCTGGAAAAAAGGTGAATTTGGAAAGGAAATGGGTAAAATGATGCTACAAATTTCCTCAGGGGTTGAGTTTATCAATGGCAAGACTGACTACATTGATCCCACAGGTGCTGGATTATTTGATGCTTTGTTACTTGGGATAACAAAAGAAATCACAACACAGAATCCATGAAGTGGAAGCAAATTTTAAACATTATGAAAAAAAATTAAATTTAGAGAGAGAAAAATTAAGAACCTTTCAAAAATCATAATAAAGAACCCTTTTTACAGTCATAAGGGGGAAATAAAAAAACTCTGACTTGATTTAATTCAGATTAAAACTATCACCTGTAGTCTAATGCTATGTCAAATCCCTGCTGGCACTACCTTTTGTGCCCTCTGCTGTTGGTAGCTTCTTGCTGAGCCCTTTCTTCCATCAGTTTGGGTGCTTGCTGTTCTTTCCCTGCCCACCACAGGATCCAGCTCAGAAAATCTCATGTCTTTGGTAGGAAAAAATCTGAATGCAGTGCACAAATCTCATTTTAGTTCATCACAAGCTCCCTACTGGAGCCATGCCCAAAGCTCCCTACTTTCCACGTTGTTTCACATGTCCTGTATTCATCCTGCCTGTACCTAACCTGGTAAATGAGGATGAGTGAGGGAGGAGAGCTGAGCTGGAGCAAGATCCAAGCAGTGGGAATCAGTTTGCAGGTCTGAGGGCTGAAGTTTGCTTTGCTCCTTCTCAGTGACTACAGGTAGCACTGACAGCATTCTGCAGTCTCTCCACAGAGCTACACACTAGGAACTGGACACGTGTGACTTTGGAGCTTTCATGCTAAGGCTGCATGGGAGCATCCATGTTAAGGTGGTTTTTGATTGGTTTGTTTTGATTTTACAGAATGGGCTGAGTTCAGATTGCAGGTTAGAGGAGGGGATTCTCCTCCTCTACACCGCCCTTGTGAGATCCCACCTGCAGAGCTGCCTTCAGCTCTGGGTCCTCAGCGTAAGAAGTATGTGCCCCAGCCCAAACAGGTCCACAGGAGACCATGGAGATGCTTCAAGGAGTGGAGCCCCTCTGCTCTGGAGCCAGGCTGGGAGAGCTGGGGCTGAAAAGCTCCAGGAAGACCTTAGAGTCCCTTCCAGTGCCTAAAGGGGGAATACAAAAGAGAGGCAGGGCAACTTTTTACATGGGCAAACAGTGACAGGACAAAGGCAATGTTTTTAAACTAAGCTGGGAAAGATTTAGATTGGGTATTAGGAGGAAATTGCTCCCTGTGAGGGTGGTGAGGCCCCTGCACAGGTTGCCCAGAGAGGCTGTGGCTGCCTCATCTCTGGAAGTGTTCAGATTGGATGGGGCTTGGAGCAACCATGTCCCACGTGGCAGGATCCTACTGCATCATGGAATGAGATGAGCTTTAAGGTCCTTTCCAGCTCAAACTCTTCTGTGTTCTGTGATTCTACACCCTGGTACTGCAAACAGCTGACAACATTTTGGTCACAGACAGGCTTTCCTGTGAGCAGGTACCCTTTGGGACCACTCCTTGTATGCCTGAGAAATTACCCTTTCTGAACTCAGAGGAGCTCCTGGAGGTCATCAGGTTTCCTTGTACGTGAGCTGGGGCAAGGATCTGTGTTTCTTACTGGAATGGCCAGTCTGAGCAGCTGAACAGACCTGACCCTTGAGCTGCAAGAACTTCTGTTTAGCATGCAGATCTCCCTGAAGGCAACACTGGCTGGGGGCCTGCTATGTGGGCTCTTTGTAGAGCACTGCCTTCTCTCCAGAGGGGTATTTGAACTTCATCACCCATCCAAGGGCTTTAAATCAACCAAACAGACCACCTGAACCACCCCAGGGAAAGGCTGGATCATCTGGGCTTCACTCTCACCCTCCAGCATCCAAACCCTGATGTTTCTCCAGCAGGTTAGGTCCAACAGGTGAGAGGGAACAAACAAACGAATGGAAAAATACAGAACAGATGGGAAAATCATATCCAGTTAGCTCCCAGACTGCACTTTCAGGAACCTTCCTTCTGGCAAAGGTGTGCTGTGACATTAACTTGACCTCTCTGCTTAAAGGACTGCCAAGGGCTCCTGCTTTCAGCTGGGGTATCTGGTCATACTGGCACAGTCCTGCATTCCTGCAGGGCCTGACTGTAACTCAACACTGCCCATGTCAGACTGTCCACACCCTGCAGCAGCCTGCCTTTGGAAGCAGGATCCAAGCCATGGCAGAGCCAGGTGCCCCATGAATGGCCCCTTGGGGGGCGGGCAGCAGCAGCAGGAGGGCATTGCTTGGATGGAGACAGGTTTTAAACAACAGACAGGTTTTCCAAGATTTTTCCAAACAAGAGCTGTGGCTTTCCTGGGAACACCATTTCGTGGAGATGCCCACAGCTTGAGGCCAAAGCTGAACAGGAGCAGACAGGAAGGGGGCCAGGGAGATGCTCTGAGGGTTGAAGTCCCTCTGCTCTGGAGACAGGCTGGGAGAGGTGGGGGTGTTCACCTGGAGAAAAGAAGGTTCCTGGGAGATTTTAGAGCCTCTTCCAGTGCCTTAAAGGAGACCCAAGAGAGCTGGAGAGGGACTTTGGACAAGGGCCTGGAGTGACAGGACAAGGGGTGCTGGCTTTAAGCTGAAAAAGGGTGACTAGAGATTGGGTACTAGGAAGAAATTCTTGGTTGTGAGGGAGGTGGGGCCCTAGCACAGGTTGCCCAGAGCAACTGTGACTACCCCTGGATCCCTGGAAGAGTCCAAGGCCAGGCTGGATAGGGCTTGGAGCAACCAAGTGTAAGTTGTCATTTGCTCCATCCTTCCTCAGACTTTCTCCAAGGGATCAACACACTACACCTGAATGCTCCACCAGCAGCTAAGCCAAGAGAAAACTGTCCTGGGGGGCACCAGGGAGGGGATTGTCCTGCTGTGCTCTGCACTGGGGTGGCCTCACCTCAAATCCTACGCGCAATATAAAATACACATTAAGCCATTGGAGAGCACCCAAAGGAGGCCGTGAGGATGGGGAAGGGTCTGGAGGGTCCATATGAGGAGCAGCTGAGGGTACTTGGTGTGTTGAGTGTGGAGGAGAACTGAGAGGAGACCTCCTTGAGCTCTTCACCATCCTCCTGAGAGGCAGCACAGGGTTTGCATATCTAACTTCTAGGTGCCTACGTTTGCACACAGGAATCTTCCTCCCATGTATGTCTTGCATTAGACAAAATAAAGGTTTAGGCTCATCTCTTTAAAGCACTTGCAGGCTGTTCACTGTTGAAGACTGTCACTACTGAGCTGCACATCTGCACTCACAGCTCTTCCAGTGGCAATGCCATGGCTTGTTGGAGTGGTGCAGGCTAGGGGCCAGCTAATGGAAGGGAGCTGGTGTATGGTTAATTAATTGAGGTCATTTTAGGTATTTTACTTTTGCTTCTACCTTCAGTGCTCCAAACCACAGCTCTCTTCCAGGGCACCTACATTTAATGTCTGCAGCTAGGTAGTGTGAATATGCCTGAGGCCACTTCTGCTCACCATAAGAGGCTGGCAGGGATACAGCTCCAGATACTTGGAGGAGAGTACAGAGAACACAGTGATCAAAAATCCCTCACAGTTAAACAGATTCCTATTTACCAAGGGCTCAGATGCTGTCACTGTGGAGCAGAGCTTAGAGGACAAACTGCTGAAATGAGAACTAACAGGGCACACTGGTGGGCATGACCAGCTATGAGGAAAAACCAGGCTGATTTTGCTTGTTTATGGTCATTTTCTCCTGCTGCTCCTAACTCCTTTTGGGGGTCTCTAAAGCACACTACAAAGTCCTATTTAACAACCAGAATCAAACACAGGAACACTGAAATGATCCCCAGATTTGACATGGCAAATATGACACAGATACTATGACCTCCCTAACCCCATCTGGGAAAGAATAAACAGGTTGTGCCATGACTGGTGGCACCATAAGCAGGTGGCAAAACTTCAGGTGACAGCTCAGTTGCAGCTCAGCTCACTTGCAGGGGATGTGCATCAACACTGCCTGATTCAAAGAGCCAAGAAAGGAAATAAGAGCTGGCAAGACTCTTCCAATGAACTCTTGCTTATTATTTCCCCAAAATAACCTCAACTTTTTCCACTCTTTTCCTCCAAAAACCAACCACCTTCTTAAGTAGATATGTTCTCTCTCTCTTCCTTCACTTTGACTCACCCAGGTCTCTGAGCATGTGCCACATGATTAAAAACGCCTCATCACGAAGCCCCACAGTGATACCAAATGGGCAATGTATGCAATCCAGTCAGCTTATGAATAACTTGGAGGTTGAAACTTATTTACACAATGTCCTTGAACAAATAAAATCCAGGGGCAGAGCTCTTGGAGTCTTTTGAGAGCAAAGGCCCACAGAGGGCTGTAAATATCAATCCTTTGCCATTTCAGTATTTCTACCAATTTGTGACTTTATACCCTCCCTTATCCTGAATCCTATGTTCACTCTGAAATGGGAAATCAACCCAACAAGCCTAAAAATGGAAATGTGTATAGGATGACAATATTGAATCACTTATTCTCTGAATATTCTTTTATCAAGTCCTGAAAGCAAGTCCACAAAAACCTCCCACATGCTGCCTAACAAAGCACGAACAATGTAGTGCTCCTCTCCAGTCATCAGCCCTTCTCTCTGAATGCATGAGGTGGATCCACGCACACATCACTGAGTGCTGGCTCACATTACAGACTGCTGGGACAAGCTGGGTCCTTACACAGCTTCTGAATCACACAAAGACTGTGACACAATTAACTGCTCAGCCAATTGGAAGCTAAATCTTGCAAGTAAAAGAAACCCTAATCTTCTAGACTACAAATATAGCTGTTACTTAGGTTCCACCAGCTGCTGAGGTAGGAAAGAGATTCAAGAAGGGAATTCTGTACTTGTAAATAAATACTTGTTACTGATGATGGGCTCCAAACCTATTGAACCTCTGATCATTTTGCTGGAAGGCTCTAGGTTTTCTCACCAGCAAGAAAAAGAAGGTAGAAAGGTCTTCTCATGTTGAAAGAGACAATTAGAAGCTCATTCTGCTTGGAATATATCTGATTAAAAGTCAAGGTTGAGGCACAAACATGAAACTTCATTTTCCAGATACACATCCTGTCATCTGCTAAATTACTTCTCTGAGGTTAATGTGTGCTGGAGAGCTAAGACAGTGGGAAACATCTAGATGCAATACAGAGATGGAGGACCTGAAGAGAAGTAGAGACTTCAAAAGAAACAGTGTTTTGTTTTTCCTGCACAAATGCTCACTTTTTCCTATGTTAGAGGACACCTAGTATCCAGATAGAGATACTAAAAATCTGACTGGATGTAGCCCTGGGCAAAAATGCTCTAGCTGACTGTGCATTGACCAGGGGGGCTTGGCTAGCTGATCTCATCCTTCCCACCTCATTCCCCTCTGTAGTTTTACAAGAAACAACATGGTACAAAGCTGTGCCAGGGGAGGGTTAGGTTGGATATCAGGAAAAGTTCTTCACCCAGAGGGTGCTGGGCACTGCCCAGGCTCCCCAGGGAATGGGCACGGCCCCGAGGCTGCCAGAGCTCCAGGAGCATTTGGACAATGCTCCCAGGGGTGCCCAGGATGGGATTGTTGGGGGGTCTCTGCAGGGCCAAGGAGCTGGACTGGATGATCCCTGTGGGTCCCTTCCAGCTCAGGATGTTCTATCAAACATAGATCAGAGGCCCTCTGAAACACTCATGTGGCAGACAGATGATCTTTCCTGAGAGCAAACGATACCTTTCAGGCAGAGAAGCTGCACAGGTGTAATGACAGACATCCTCTCTCTACAAACCTCTCTGCTTTGCAACACAGACCTCCCAGAGCAGTGGGACAGCAGGGCTTGAAAGGATTACAGAAACATGCTAACAGTATTACCTCGGGCAGTGTCATTTGAGGTGTCTATCGCTGCACCACGAGATTCACAGAGATTTAATCACATGACTGGCTTAGTCATCCAGGTAGTTTTCAGGGCCTATGATGGGCTGAGGAAGCAGACTGAATCAGGTGCAGAGGCTCTTGCAGCATAAAGAAAACGACATAAAATGCACTGCAGAAAGTTTGCTACTCTTGTCAGACCTGGAGAAGTGAGAAGGCCCAGTACTACACAATAGAAGTGAACCTTGTGCAGGTGAATAATTTTTTTTTTTTCCTCACAACTCTGTCCATTCTGCTGTGCTCACATGAATCTGCTGATTCTGAATCACCATGAGGATTTCCATGGTTAGAACTCAAAGAAGCTGTGGCTGCCCCATTCCTAGAAGTGTTCAAGGCCCGGATGGAGGGGGCTGAGAGCAACCTGGTTTAGTGGAAGGTGCTCCTGCCCATGGCAGGGGTTTGGAACAAGATGGGCTTTAAGGTCCCTTTCAACCCAAACTATTCTGTGATTCTATATTTGGGTTAAGGACAGCACTGGAGATTGCTGACTGTGAAGCCCTTCCAGCAGAGGCTGACCCATGTCAAACTCTGCATACACAATTACAGGCCCATCAGAGCTGGGCAAGCCACCAGTAACTTACCTTTGGGTATTTCACAGTCCCTGATGACAGACACTCCAGGCATGCTTCTTCTGAACTCCCATTCTTGCTGTGACAGGACACAGGCCCTTTGGAAATGACTCCCAACTCCCCTCAGCCGGGGCATTGCACAGACCTCCTGCTCCTGTGGGGCTCAAAGCTGGCACTGTGCGTTTTCTAAATCCATGGCTGTGCAAAGAGCTCCACCTCTTGCCTTGTCCCAGCGGGCACATGTGCTCTGCCACCCACAGCACACCCTGCAGACTGGATGGCAATCTATTCTTCCAGCATGTGGGAGGCCCACGCCTCTCTGCCATCTGCCACTGTTCATTTCTTGTTGCTTCTGAAGCAACCTGAAAAATAACTCTGATTAAATTTAATGAAGCAGGAAACCCTCTGAGTAAATTTATTTCCCAAATAATCTGCTTACTGCTCTATCACTCTTGCTGTGTGTGACAGACACCCATCTTAGCCCTCCTGCATTTCTGAATCCATTCATTTGCTCCTGTTTTGGCTCTAATGAGTGGACTGCCCAGTTTCCACAAGAACAGCTAGGAAGTGGGAAATGGGGGGGAATCTAGAAAGGATTTTTAGATAACAAGGTATAGCAACAAATAGGAATTCTTAAGAAAATATGAATTCTACCCTACTAGGCAAAAGCTTAGATGAGCCTAATGGATGACAAAAAGAATCCCTGTGTGTCCCTGTCTGCAGGGAGGGCTCCGAGCAGGGATCAGGCTCTGCCCCAGGGCCCAGCAATGGCACAAGAGGCAAAGGCAGAAACTGATGCACAGGAAGTTTCACCTGAACACGAGGAAGAACTTTCCTGTGCACTGAGCAAGCACTGAAGAGGCTGCCCAGAGAGGGAGTGGACTCTCCCTCACTGGAGATATTCCAGAACCATCTGGACACAATCCCGTGTCAGGTGCTCTGGGATGACCCTGCTTGAGCAGGGAGGTGAGACCAGATGAGCCACTGTGGGCCCTTCCAGCATGAACTGTACTGTGATTTGTGTGTGAAAACTTCCTTTTTCTAAGCAAGTGAACATTCCCTGAAGCTAGCTAGCACTAAATTAAACTGTGTGAAAAGTGATCACTGCACCTTTTCTCCCCAGTCTGTATTCTGATAACATCTTTAACCATAGCAGAAAAATAAGCCAACACTGTTACTCTGCAACATGATCCATTTCTACAATGAAAAATCATTGCTATTTTTTTATCTGTAGCAGATCTAATAAATTAGCATCCTCTTCAGTAAATTAAATTGGCTGCTAAATAAATTTGAATTACTAAGTAATCTTGAATTACTCTTCCCGCCTATGTGCTTCGAAAAACAGCCACACATTTTGTGTATCTGTCCCTCTGCCTTCAACTGGCTGTGCTAATTCCATCAGATAGCTCAGGCAGCTCTGGAGGATTTAGGAAGTTACAACATCCTAGCTCACTGCAAAGGCTGTTCACATCTGTCTCTTGATTCTTGGGCAGGGCATCATTATTGACAGCAAGGTCTCCTCTGCACTGAAGGTTTCATGCTGGCGCTCCCACCCGAACCCAGGGGGTGCTCCATGACACAGTGGAGCACTGGCACTAAGGGATCCATGTCTCAGGAATGAAGAACAGAAACAGCTGCTGGATGGGGAGAAAGTGGGAGAAACAGCTGCTGGCATAAAGCGACACAGCCTCACGGAGCTGCCATGAAAACTGTCATTTCAAGGGCAAAATCTGATGTATTGCAATGAAGCTAATAATTAAAATATAGAGACCCGCATTGCTTCACCCCCAAAAAAGGGCTTTGGTCAAGGCAAAGAGAATTTTGCAGGCTCCCAATAGTGCCTTTCATGTTTACAGAGTACACTGCATGATCACTGTGCACAGAAGAAAAATTCCTGAAGTATTTCCTATTGCTCAGTGGCCTCTAGATAAATAATGTCTGCAGAGCTCCTGTACTGTACTGGGCCAGACCCTTAGCTGGGAAAACTGGCAAAACACTGCTGTGTGAGGGGAAAGTGGGAGATTTGTAACAACTGAAGAGCTGCACAATAATTTCTTGAAGTAAGAAATGATGCCTGTTTCTACAGGAGGGAGTCATTTATATGATAGCTACACACACATGCATAGATGCTAATGCCAACATTTACATCTTTCACGTGTAACATATACACCACACAAGTCACAGAGCTCTCTCTGGAAGCCTGCATAATGTTGAAATAAGCAGTGCAAAAATAGGAATGCATTACCTTCAAAATAGCAAGACTTCCTCCCACCTCTTCCCCCTCCAAGTTCACGGACTATGCATTTCATCAGGATTCACTGTATCAGCCAGGATTAACCACCTTAGCCAAGAACTCTACCTTGGGTTGAGTGTGACAGTCATTTTAAGTCTCCTACCTGAACTTTTGTGTAGCCTGAAAGATGCTGAGAATGTCCCACCTCCTTTCCTGAATATTCCTTAGTTTCTGACACAACAGCCGCACTTCTGCAATGGAGGGACTTCTGATCATGGTGGCCATCCCTTTTTCTGGCTTCTGTGCCAAAGAAGACATGGTTTAGCTTCTCCATACCTCTCCAGCTCTTCTTGAGTATACTCCAGTTGTTTGCCAACATTACTGGGGGAAGAAGAAGAGGGTGGCAGGGACAGTTCGCTTTTCCTCTCCTTCCTGGCTTCTTCCACATCTGGGTTTTGTTTCATTAGAACAAGCATGATGATAATGGGAGATACACAACCCAGACTTCTTCTATTATGGTGGTGAGATACCAGGAGCTGGTCATGCCTGTTGATGTACTCACAGGGAAGAAGCCAAATGGACCAAACCATGGACCAAATGCCACTGGTCAGAACTCCATGCTGCCAGCATGCACAGGAGGACTGGTGCCAGGAATCAAACCACTGGGGATGTCACTGCCAGATTTTCTAAAGTAGCATGTCCTACAAACCTTCCACAGTTCTAAAGATGAGAACAGTAGAAACAGTGAGCAGCAGAAACATTTTAGGCAGCAGAAAAATACAAGATCATCTGGCACAGTTCTGTATGGTCTTAAAATAGCAGCATCTCTCTTCTTTTTTTGTTATGGAGCTGCAGATTAATTGATCTTTAACTTTCCTTCTGTTAGAATGTTCCAGTTGATGTCTTTCCTGAAATGGTAAGTTCTTCCTCTTTCTAATTCAAAGAAAAGTTAGGATTTCCCTCCCCAAATGAAGAGAATGTGTTATCCTTTACGAGATGCTAAATCCACAATCTCAGCATCTAGAAAATCAAAGTGAGACAAGGTAACATCAGTCACCTGAAACACAGGATCAGCAGGACCAATGTTGGCTTCTTTCTGGTCTTGGGAGAGGAAGTCCCTGCTGGGATTCTGAAAATAATTCCAGCTGAACTCTGTAGGGATCCCTTGGAGATTCTTTGTGGGCTGTTCCTTGGTGACTCTGCCCCTGGTTACTCAGAGATGGGCAGCCCAAAGACCAATAAATGCATTTCTACTGACTAAGCTCAGGAGAAGGGGTTGGACAAATGTCTATTTAGTGCCCAGTGTCCAGGGTAACAGCCAAAATGCCAACTGAGACGAGGGCCAGCCTGTGGGGGGGCTGGTGGGCCATCCCCTGAAGACAGAGTCTGTCTGGAATGGGATTGCATTTCCTAACCTTTTCTCGAGGGATGTTTACAGAAACCTAAAAGGAGCAGAGATCACACCCAGATATCTGCTGCCTCTGTGTGTAATTTTGGCCTCATCCTGTCACAGAAATAACCCTAGAATTCTTCACTTTGTTCCCACTTGGAAACTTGGAAAAGTGAGACGTTTCCCCTGCTTTCCTACAGTGAATGGTCTGAGACAAGTTACAGTGTTCCTGTAACCCCCTATTCTCTTTAGAAGCTGATCCTCAGCTTTTAGTTCTCCAAGACTGATGCTGTGAAGCAAGTTTTGCTCTAGAAGCGCTGTGGTATTTCCCATCCCCTTTTGCCTTGTCTTTAATTCACTCCTGAGCTCACAGCTGTGCTGGATACTTCTGTAAGCAGTTTGCTGCCTACAAGCCTGGGCCTGGCACTGCTGCTCTACATTTAGGTGGCCAATCAGCAAAGAAATATTGTATTCCCAGTCCAGTCACCCTGGTGGCACCAAACTCAAAAGCCAGGCACAAAGCTGAGGAGAGGATGCAGAAACAGGCAGGTCAGAATTGAGCTCAACTTTTTATCAAAACTGAGATACATTCCTTAAAGCAAGAACAGTGGGTCAGAGATGTCCAGGTAGATCAGAATATCTCCCTTCTCCCTCACTGTTATACATCATTAATGGCTTGGGTCATAGACCAAACCTCCAGCCACAGGTATTACAGTTACTAGTAAAGCAAAGCCCTGATCCCAACCTGACACTGCTGTAATGAGACATCACTGAAACCCAAAATAGCACTGAAATCCTAAAGAAAGAAATGCTAAAAGGGGAAAACACAGTGTTTAAAAAATATCACTAAGACTGCACTGTGGCCCCTGTAAAAGGGGAAAGGATGGACGGAGCAGCCATGACATTTCCTAACTTCTAATATCATTGCTTGCTTCTTTTCAAACAATTATAATACAGCAAAGCTTAAAAGTGAAGTACAGACTGCTGTAGTTTCAGACACCTCTTCAAGATACAATCACTAATGAAGTGACTTGGGCACATCTGTCAAAAACTCAGGAGGCATCACCTTGACTATAAAAACAGGGAGTAGAAAGAAAAAGGCAAAATGCTTTGTCCAAGATTCCACGGCTGACTCATGGACCCGAGCCGACACGACACTCGGGAACACGATGTGTCACACTGATAAACATTTGCCTTCCCACAAACACATGTATTAAGTCCTCCAGTAATGAAGGAACAGAAAAATGAAAAGGAACTGGTTTTGCAGGTCAGCATTATTTAGACCTCTGGAAAAACATAGGAGTTGTTCTCGTATTAGAATGGAGTTTTCTCTGACCCTTTTGAAGATAACTGCTGGATCGGGTTACACCAAATGTCCACCTCACTGGTATCTTTAGTTGAATTGTGAATGCCTCATGAGCAGCATGAACATGAGGCAATTATGTAAGAATGCTTTCCAGAATACTTCTGCAGCCTTCTACAGCAAGGATTTTATATTTTAGCAGCTCTAGCTTTACCTGAGACATGACAAGGAAAAAAAAACTATTTCCTAGATATCTCCTGCATAATCAGCCAGGGAAGCAAACAGCTGTAGCTCCAAGGTCACGTAGACAATGCTCTTGAATCTCAGTAAACAGCATGAAAACACAAAAAGCATGTCAAGAACACAGCTTTTGTATGTTGAATTTAAAATCCTGGAAATTAAAAAAAAAAATACGGTCTAAGATTGGTCTACACATTCAAAGTAACAGCTGTGCTCCTTGGCAAATAAAGTGTGCCAACCTCGATTTCCAGTTTTCTTCTATTGACTTCCAAAAGACAAAGTCATTTCTCCATGTTTCTCCTCATCATGTATGTTACCTGTTTCTCCTCATCACATATGTTACCCACGTTCAGTTTCTTCTCATGCCCAGACAGGAATTCTTTAAAATATTCTTTTAACATTTTTAAATTTAAAAGGAATGAAGAAGTATTGCAGATGCTACTGCCTGCCATCAGAGCTTAGCAACAAAATTAATTTTTTAGAGCAACAATCAGGTTTTTAGTCTTTCACAGCCAATGTTTTTCACCATCTCTCAGCTGCTCTCAGAACTCCCTGGAATCTGGCTACACTCCCATCTCCCACTTTTTACACAGGCTAACTGGACTATAAAAGGCAGGAAAGCACTGCTCCCTAGGGACACCTGATAGCATGTAGCCTTTCACAGCACTTCTCTTCCTTCTGCGTTTTTTTTACCCTAGGTGGGAAAATCTCCTGCATGAACTTAAGAGATGGGTTCAATACTCAAGCAGTATTGACTGGAGACACACATTAAAAAAGCCAAAATTTAATACAAATCAAATGGAAGAGAGTCGTTGGGCTGTGACAGTTTATTTTACCACCACCCAAGGCTGGCATGCAGCGAATTTTCCTTCTGAGGCACTAGTGATTGTAACTGAGCTACTTATAAAGTTAACTTTATTTAAGAGCTGATTGTATACCTTTCCTAACTGTCCAGAACCTGGCTTCAGCAACAAAATTTTTCCCTGTTTTCCTAGAAACAACTGTCTTTACATCTCTAGGCTGGATTAAATCATGATGTGCAGTTTTATTCTAGGTCTGTACCGGTCAGTGAAAGAGATGAATGAGCAAAAATGGGTCTCACTCACTTTTCCCCAAAGACCCTGAGCTCGTGCTCCTCCAAGTCAGGGATGACACACTGCTGGTATTTGCTGGATGCCAGAAGCTGCGTTCACACAGACTTGGGGAGTGGAAGCACCCAGCTATCCACTGCTCTGGATCTTTATTCCAAACCATTCCTTGCTATGTGCATTGCTACCTCAGCTGCTAGAAAACCTCAGCTCTATTTAAAAGCAATGGGAGAAAGGGAAAATCTCATGGTATAAAAGACAGATTCTACAGTTAATGTCAATTCTACAGGAAGGAAAGCAGATCCTTCCACACTGCTGACCTTTCCAAAGGTGCCTCTTTCCAGTGTGAGCACAGAGGAGCACTTATGTATGCTGAGTTGTGGGGTCATATGCATAGTAGGCAGATCTGGTTTAAACTTCTAGATAAGGCACCCTGGAAGAATATCCAGAGATTCATGCACGACATTTCCTACTGCACAGCACTTTTCCACCATTCTTCACTTTACAGGAGATCTGGCACACTTTTAGTCAAAGTCACTTTTCTAGAAGAAATTAAAGTGAAATTCCTGGGGAGTTGTGAAATTGAATAAGCCTGTGTTCAGTGTCCTGTGTGACTCTGAAGGGGATTCTGCTGAGCCTTGGCTTTTCCTGCAAGCTCCCAAGCTCTTCCGGATGAACTGGCCATTCTTCTTGCGGATGCTTCCCGTCAACTCCACGATCCTGGAAGATTTTGCAGCTTAAAGAGGGGAGAAAAAATAAGAGATGTTCAGTCATCTCATATAGTGAGGCCTCAGTCTGCAGAGCATAGGGCAGGATTGAACCACTTTCTTCTCCTCCTCACCATGCAAAGTTCTCCTACCTGCTTCCATAAGCTTCAGCTCTCTGCACAGCTCCTCCTGCATCTTCTTCCTGTAGTCTCCAAACATGGCTCTCATGAGCTGACGCTTCTTCACCAGTGGAGCCTTGTCACTGCGCAGTGTCCTGATCGCCCTGAGAGCCTCCTCAGCTGCAGCAAAGGAGCAACGACACACAGGTTAAGGCTCCCTGCTGGCTCTGCCCCTGCACTCCTGCCAGTGCTGCCCCCAGGAGAGAGCTCTTCTTTACTTCAATTCTTACCCTGCTTTGGAGTGGGTTTCTGTGTCTTCAAGCCGAGTTCCAGCTGGTTCACACACCAGTCCACCTCTTTCCACAGCTGCTCATCTGACTGCTATCAACATGAGGAACAGTGAGCAAGAGGAAGTAAATCACCCAAAAATTACAGCAGCAGTTGCTACACAGGATGAAAGGGAACTCCAAAAAGTCAGGACTATTCCAAATATTATGTTCTGGTGACCACTTAACAGACTTCATGACATCTTCCCTCTAGTGTTTTTCATCAGATAAACTAAAAGCACTGTGCAAATGTTTAGCTGCATCTCACTGTCTCTATTAGATGGATTTAATGTGGCTGCCATTCAAAAGGTGCTGTTTTCTGGAAAGCTGTACAGCTTTCAAAGAAACTTACAGATGGGAGAAATAAACATTAACACCAGAAAACCCCATCCTCAAACCTGCACAAAACCCAAAAAAGCAAACAATGGACAAAATCAGAAGCTGAGTCTTTCTTCTCAGCTCCTCTGTGCTTGCTCAACCAGAAATGCATGAGGGACAAGGAAGATGAAGCCCATGGAGACGAAGGAAGCCAAGTGCCATTGAGCAATGCCAGCTGGCTAACTCAGCAGTGGAACAGGGAAACAGGGCTGCACCCTGGGACTGCAACAATTCTTAACTGTTATATACATGTAAATACAAATGCCCTCACACTGTCTCCTTTTACCTACAACAGTGTCCTTCTAAAGGACTGGAAGGGCTTTACCTGACCTTCAACTTTTTCTAAGTCTCTGGTGCTCAGCAGTGTTTATTGGTAGGACTGCAGGTGAAGCAGACCTTTGGATGAAATGTTCCAGAGGCAGGTGAACACTCAGTGCAATTTCCTTGTAAAATATTGAGAAAAGGAAGGTTTTGTGCAATCTTGTGCTACAGTATGAATCAGCTAGCACTGTTTGTTAGTAAAACCTACACCAGTGCTGGAAAGTAAAACAAAATGAAGACCTGGACCTTAGCAGAACAGAAAACCTCAGGGTGTGCCTTAATGTTGTGTTTACACATAACTTGCAACTTCAGATGATTTCTGGGCCATGCCCTACAGAGGAACCTTCTCGGAAGCACCCTTGAGCTCTACCACAGGTCCTTGGCTACACCAGGTGGCAGTCCTTTGCCTTGGCTTTGCTCCTTGTACTACGAAAGCAATTCATCCTGCAACACACACATCAGAGCTACAGGGCCTGGCTCAGCACCCACAGGCACCAGCTTGGCACCAAATGAAGACAGTTACCTCCATTTCCTATTTTTATTTTCTTAAAAAATCATAGCATCCAGCTCGCCAGGATTAGCTGTCACAAGCCTAAACATGAAATCTTTCAGCACAAATCTGAAGGACCATTAACTTCCTTTGCTCTGGTCAGGCTCCTCAGCTGTGTAGCAGAGAAAGCAAACAGCTGCTGGAACATGTGAGCAGCAAATGTGGGCTTTCAGCTTCCATCTCAGGGCAGTATTCTAGTTGTTCATCTGTGCAAAGAGATAAAGTGCCTCTTTAGCTCAAGGGTTTATAAATAATGGGATCCCATCAGTATTTAATTACCTGAGAGGTCTTCTCATCCTGATGGGAAGTATCTGTATTTTGACAGCTGTTAGCTTCTGCCTTTGCCTTCCTGCTGGTCTCAGTTTCTTCTGCTTTGTTTTTACTGACAGGTGCTTTTTGCTTCTTCTTTTTCTTCTTCTGGGCAGCTCCACCTCCTGTTGATTTTTCTGTCATTGCCTCATCTGCAGGGGCTGTCTCTGTTTGGGGGATCTTTGATGTGGCATGGCTTCTGTCCTCTTCGGGTGCATTCCCTGTCACTTGAGTCACCTCAGGCTTCTGCAAGGCTGCAGCCTGTGGCAGAGCTGCTGATTCAGCAGGCAGTGAAGGATCTGCTGTGTGCTCTGTATGTTGGCTCGCTGGAAGTAACTGAAGATGAGGACACTCTTCATCTGGGATGGCAAAGTTGAAAGCAAACTTTGGTTCTTGTCCAGAGGCAGCAAAGCTCAAGGCGCCATTCCAGTTCTCCTGCTTAGTGGCTCTGTTTTGAACCTGCTCAGCACCACTGTCACCAGGGTCAGCTTCTGGGTCAGTCTTGGAAAGTGTAAAATCAAATCGGAAGCTGCTGCCAGATGATGTGAACAACTCTGGCTTTACCTCAGGGGTTGGATCAGACTGTTTCACACCATCTGCAGCCTGCCCCTTGCTTGGCTGTACTTCCACAACATCAGGGGTCATGCCTAGAAAAGACAAAGAACACTTGTTTGAGAACACCAACACTGGTGTGCTCAATGCACCAGTTTCCTACCACGGGGGTGTCACTGCAGCTTCCACTCTAAGGCACTGCCCAGAGAGGTGACTCAATTAATGCTGCAACCTAAGAAATCTACAGAAAAGAACCAAATCTTACCAGCCCCTGAGGGACAGCTCAAGCTCACCTTTCTCCATGCTCTTCTGACCCTCATCCATTTTGAGATGACAATCCCCAAACTCATTGCTCATCACTTGCTGCTTCTCTGCAAGAGGAGTCTCAGGGGAGTGCAGGACCTTGAAAATGTGTTGGGTTTCTTCTGCTCCACTCAGAAAACACCAAGAGAGACAAGAAGCAGTTTACAGTGGGCCTTAAAACCCACACTGTGGGATGCTGATGACTGACTCAGAGTAATGTGCTCTGTATTCATACCACCTCTGTCTAATCCATAACTAGCATTTAATTGAAAAGGAACTCCAAGTTCTTCCAGAAGCTCAAATACTGTGAGATGTTCCTACAGAGGAGAAAAAGAAATCATAACTGCTTATTACTTACAGTTGGACTCTTACACTGCAGTAAGTGCAGTGCTAATGGCACAGAAGCTACAGAGAGCTTAGCAATCTTTCCCTCAAGGTGAAGACAAATCCCAGAACATAACTCAGTGTCTCTTCTCTGGAAAACTGGAAAAACATCTAAGTAGAGGGTATACCCTGAAAAGCAGGACTCTTGCTCTTGCCTACAAACCAGCCTGAACACAGCAAGAATCCAAAGCTTTTGTGTTAAAACAAATTCTCTAAAAAACAAAGTTGTTCTGTGACAGTGGTTCCCAAGATCTCAATCTGGAAACCCTAAATATAGTCTTGTAGTGTTTGTCCCACTTATTTTAAACCACAGAACAACTTGAGAGTAGTACTGTGGAATGGGAACATCCCACCTCTCCCAGCTGCAGGGCCCAACCATCCTCTCGGGAAAGAACCTTTCCCTAACATCCAGCCTAATAATCACCCCCTAACACAGCTCCAGCCGTTCCCTGGTTCTGTCCCTGGTCACAGAAAGCAGAGATTGGAGCTGTCCCTCTGCTGCCCCTCGGGAGGAGCTGCAGCCCCAGTGAGCTCTGTGCTCCATCTCCTCTCCTCCAGCTGAACAAACCAAGTGCCCTCAGCTGCTCCTCCTATGGCTTCCCCTTGAGACCCTTCCCCATCCTCATATCCCCCCCTTGGACACTCTCTAACAGTTACAGACCCTTCTGATATTGTGGTGCCCCAAAGTGCCCCCAGCACTGGAGGTGAGGCTGTCCCAGGCCAGGGCAGAGCAGGACAATCCCCTCCCTGTCTCAGCCAGTAATGCTGGGCCTGATGCACCCCCAATCGTGGTGGGACAGAAGTGAGATGTACCTTCACAGCATCGGGGTGTCAGGGTCCTGGCCACATGAACTCTTATTTCAAGGGGTTTGGCTAGCTGCAATCCAGGCCAGTTACACAACAGGAGGTAGAGAAAGCTCCAGGGAGCTGCTTCCCTCCCTCACCTGGGAGTTACTCTAAGCTGAGTACCTTATGCATACAGTGCTACAGCCAAACAACTCATTGATCCAGACCCTGAATTCCTGGCGAGATGTTGGATCTGCCTCCTCACCAGACTTCTCCAGCAACTGGGACTCCAGCAGAGCCTGGGTACCATCAGCAGCACTGCTCAGCTCTCCTGGGTCACATACTGTGCAAAAGGGTCCTTTTCTGGCCAGGGCACTGCTTCTTTCCTGTACTCAGCTCCTGCTTCCCCTCCAGGAGCTGCCTTCTCTGCTGCTGGGCACTGGGGTCCAGCACAGGACATGTTTGTAACAAAATGGTCTGATCACAGAATAGCTTGGGCAGAAACTTTAAAGCTGATCCACTCCTGTCATGGGCAGAGACGCCTTCCACTGTCCCAGGCTGCTCCAAGCCCCGTACAGCCTGGCCTTGGACACTTCCATGGATCCAGGGGCAGCCACAGCTTCTCTGGGCACCCTGTGCCAGGGCCTGCCCACCCTCACAGGGAAGTATTTCTTCCTAGTATCTGATCTAAGCATTATCTCTGGCAGTGGGAAGCCATTCCCCCTTGTCCTGTCCCTCCACCCCTTGTCCCCAGTCCCTCTCCAGCTCTCCTGGAGCCTCTTCAGGCACTGAAAGGGGCTCTGAGGTCTCCCCAGCGCCTCCTCTTCTCCAGGATGAACAATCACAACCCTCTCCCACAAGCCTTAACTCTTCTTGGAGCCTGATACTCAAGCACAAGGTGTAGGCACCTATCAGTCACTGCTCCATCCTCAGGTGGACCAGCAAACACTCACCTGAGCATCTTACATGGGGTTCACATGTTAGGTACTGACCAGCAGCAGGACATGTGTCTGCAGCTCTACAAAGTGGACTAATGAGATCAAACTATGACCTTATAGAATTTTATCTTTCATGTAATTTTTCCCTGGAACAAGCTTCACAAAAATAAACCTACTGGTGTTTGAGGGCCAAACACGCTGGCACAGTATTTCCTTAAGATGAAAAACAAAGGCAGAGCAGAAAGGTTCTGCTGTAGCAGAACCAAACAAGTCATTATATGGGAAAAAAAGAACATGACAAAGAATACAGAAAACAGGGAGAACAAACACTAAATGACTGAAAGATAAAACTGCTTCCAGAAACACAGTCCTTAAAGCCCAGTGTTGTCCTGTGTTTAGAACAAATCCCAAATAACACAAGAACAGGGAACATAAAGGAGAGAAGAAACAGAAAAACACCCACATCTGCTAAATCCCACCCAAGGCCAGAATATGGGGGGTGTGGGCCGGGAAAGAGGAACATACCTGGTTTGGGGTGTGGAGTGAGATGGAGATTGGCCTCCAGTTGTGAAATGCACCACTCCAGCTCCTCCTGAAACACACCTTGGGGAGCCTTGGACATCATGTGGGAAAGGCAGAATGATTAGAACCACAAATCTCTCACCTTCAAAACTGAGTTTTCTGAGGCCTCCTCCCCTCTCACAGGAGATCAGACCTGTCTTTACATTGGAGGTGTGCTGTGTAACAGTTCATTTATACCCTAAATCAGCACAGCACAGGGACACGTGTCCTGTGTGGAGAGCACCAAATGAGCCCTCTGCACTGCAGCTCTTACTAGCAGGAAAATTACAGCTCTTACTAGCAGGAAACCCCACCACTCCTGGCAAGCCAGGACTTCCCACAGATTTATTTTTTCATCTTCTTCTCCACCTGTCCCTTTTTAAAAGCCCCAAATGGAAAACGTCTCATTTTCTCCTGAAGCTTAGGCAATAGCAAAACGTCTCTACAGCAGGAAATTTCCCTTTAGCACAGCTCTGGTAACAACAGAATTTATGTTTAGCCTAAACACAAGCCCTTGAGGCCCCACGTGCTGTATGTCTACGCTGGCTGCCTCTTCCACGCAAGTGGAAGTTAAGGTTTGCAGCCCGCCTGGGAACAAGGCACACTAAAACACTGGGAAGGAAAAGAACGTTCAGGATAAGGAGATGAGCAGGGATGGGGAAAGGCACCAGAGCTGGGAAAGCCTTTAAGGAGAACCTGCGGGAGCTGGCCCCGGGCCCAGCGCGGGCCGAGCCTTACCTGCTCCGCGCCCGGCTCCCAGCGCCGCCGCCGGAAGACGCGGCCCCAGCGCACCGCCCACCTCCAGTCACGGGCCTCGCGTGGGCTCCGGGAGCAGCCCCGCCCGGGCCGGCACCACCAGCTGGAGCTCGGGGCCTGCTCTGGGCCTCTTGGAGCCCCCCGACCCTCGGCGGGGCCTTCCCCCGCCGCCGGCCGCGGGCTCAGCGTGGGTGGGGGGGCCGGGCCGGTGTGCGCCGCCCTCAGCGCCGCGGCCGCTCCCCGCGCTGCCGTTCCGCCCGAGAGCGCCCGGGCCCGGCGGGCCGCAGTCCCCAGCGCCCACCTGGGCGGCGCATTTGTGACCCCCGCGACTCCCTCCTGCTCCCCTGAGCCCCGCACTGTGCCCACGGAGCGGGCCGCGGGTATCCGGCGGTGCCGCCTTCCGTGGGCCAAATCCCCGCAGGAGCGCCCAGAGCAGCCCTGACCCCTCACATGCCAGCCTGACAGGGCATGCCAGCAAGCACCAGCGCAGGCAAAAAAGGTTAATACACACCTATTGGTACTGTCTAATCCCATTTCTATTTTAGATTTCCTTTTGATTATTTAATTTTGTAAATAAGAAGTTAGACACCTTGTTTCACAAGCATTTTTCCCTATTGGATTGTTTCCAACAACAGCCAGAAGATCCCCGTGAGGTCAGTACTGCAGCAGCACAGCGTGTCACTGCACAGGGCCTGCTGTCTCTCCAGTGCTTCAAACCATGGAGGTTGTAATTTCTCTTGACATTGGCAGTTGCTGTTAGAAATCGTCCAAGGCTGACAGAAGGGCTCTAAAGTGCTGGGGAAGCACTTCCAAATGTTGCTGCTAAAGATTATAAAATGGTACTGGAAAAATCAGTACACTTCTGCCAATCCCAACCAGACTTCGTCTGCCTTACAGTCTCCACCCTCGCTGAGACTTAGCCATTGTCTGAGCTCTCTCCTCATTACAAAAACCATCTCAGTGGCTTGAGGCTTATCCAAAGTTGTCTTGAGACTTTATCTCAAGGCTTGTTCTGAGTGGTTGAGTAGGGTCGAAATCAGCCTCAGCCCTCCTATACAAGTGTCCCAGCGTCAGGAAGAAGTATGACAGTCAAGTATTGTAGAAGATAATGAGCACAAAATAATGAGCTATCATATCTATCTTGAAAGGCCAGAATTCCACCGCAATTTTCCTCTCCCTTGGTGCCTGAGCTGGACTAAGGGCTTGTGAGCCTGTCACCACCAGTCTGGATGCATCTCCTAAAGCAAGGCTTCACATCCATAGCCTGAGGAATGCACAAACCCATCAGGCGATGCAAAGACTCTTCTTGGTATGGCCTGCAGAACCCATCCAGACAGCGCAAGGAGTGAAAGGAACATTGTTTTAGGTGGTAGGATGCTGTCCATATCTCCAGCTCTGTGGACTCAATGCCCATGCAGGGAAAAGGCACAAAGGACCAGCAATGCCTTGGTATTCCTGGGTTTGATCTCTGCCCTGAGGATTCAGCCCCACAAGGGCACCGAGTAAGCGAGCTGTGGCAGCCTTACTCTGAGGACACACGACAGAAGGGCTGTCGGGAGATCCAAATATGATCCTCAGCTTCTGCTTACACAACAGAAACCTTGTTATGGGAAGAGCTGCAAGCTGAGCTGGTGGAAGCTGATGTCTAACAAGTCATGGCTGCCTGGGACAAACAGCAGGCAGAAGAATTGGAATGGCTTGAGCCTGCCTCAGGTACAGAGCAGGTTAGCGTGCGCTGTATAAACTGTGCAAAGGCTGGGGCAACTCCTCACTGCTGTCAGATGGTGACAGAAGCACCTTTTGGGGAGCAGGCCAGCTGTACAGTCCTGTAGGTCACTCCAGGACTGGCATCCTTGCCAGCACACAGCTGCCTTCTTTCCCCATATCACCAACTGAGCACCAACAAATTCGTGGCAGGCATGGCTGTAACTGGAAGCTGGAAAATGCAGCTCTTTGGTATGACGCTCCATTGAGGGAGTTGCAGGAAGGAATTGGGGAAAAAAAAACAAAAGAGAGAAGTGGGGTGGTTGCCAGAGCTGCTAACCACAGTGTCAGTGAGCCTTGGAGGGCACTGGGACAGCCCAGTGTCACATGCCCGACACATCCTGTCGCCAGACTTCCTCGCCGGCAATGTAAGTGGCTTGCACATACAGGCTGTCATTCAGCATTAGGAAATCTGTGTTGGACAAGAGAGAAAGAAAGCAGCTGTCAGAATGGAGCTGCTGGAGTTAGCTGGGGAGAGCTGAGATCACTGGGGAAGGGCTTCTCCCCACCCCAGGATGGCACTGCAGTGCAACCCTGGAAATGGCAGCTCTGCTTTCTGTTCAGCTGAAATGCAGGGGGCACTCCAAAGGGTTTCCCAAACACCACCAGCATCCAAGGGAAAAACCACTGGAGCAAAAGCCCAGAGCATATCCCAGGTGGAGCAAGTCTCCCTGCAGCTCCCACGAAAGCAGGGGATGAGCATATGCTTACAAAGCAGCCCCTGCTTTGCTCCAGCACTTGTGAGCTCTGATACCATAATCTCCATACCAGTATGTGCTGTGCCCACACCAATACCTGCATCAGAGTCATAATCCAATGTCCCCTTTTTATGTTCAATCCCCAGGAGCTGAGCGGGATGCAGAGACGCCGCCTCCAACGCAGTCTCTACCGAGCACCCTTGGACAGAGAATTGGGGAGATGTTAGGGCAGCCAGAGCCCCATTGCCAGAGCAGCCCAAATCCCCCAGGACAAGGCAACACCCAACCAGGCCATTGATGGACCCAAGCTGGAACACCCTCAGCACAGCCAGCTGGAGCTGGGGAGGGAAATATCCCTACAGGAGAGAGCAGGCAGAGGAAAACTGAATACCTAGGGTATGGAGAAGAGAAAACCATTCAGTTTTGTGAGAAAGAAGCAGGAGAGTTCACCACTTATTAGTTCTATGGGTTAAAATGAAACTTCCCCCTCAAAAAGGGACTCATGTGAAGGCACTGATCCCAGCCCTTGCCATGTCTCAGGTGAGAGGGAACGCTCCTGGTGGAATGGACACATCTGGCAAAAGCAAGACCTCCTCCCGTGTCAACATAGGGAGCAGCAACTTGTGGACAAGGCTCTCTTACCTGTGGCTTCTTGGAAGTGTCGAACACAAGTGTCCATGGTTGCCACACTGCCACTCAGGGTCTTTGTGCCTGGGAGAGAAACAGGATGGCACTGAGCAGCGCCCATAGCTCACAGCAAGAAGCAGGGCACTAGAGAAGCATAATGGCACCAGAAGTGCAGAAGTCCTGTGTGGCAGGAGGAGCACGCTGAAGGGCCTGCAGCCACTTCCTGCTGAGCACAGGAAGAGGTACGTGGGTGTTGTCCCCAGCTCTACTATCAGACCAGCTGGACTGGGTGAAACCTGCTCACAACACAGGCATCTGCTGCCAGAGGAAGGGAATGAAGAAAGGAATGCTCCTTCACTGAAATACCTTCCCAGTCTTCATCTGCTTGGGAATTTGAAACTTAGGGAATTTAGCTAGCAGTAGGTGCTAGTGTTACAATGAAGAAAAGGAACAATAAATGTCTCTTAAGATTTCTCTGTCCTTACTGACGCCCTGAACCTCTAGCACCCTTAGCACTGGACAATGAAGCTTTCAAAGATGTTGCAGACAGCTATAACTGGACAGATTCTTCCATGAGGGTGGAACACTTCTCGTCTTTACCAGGAGTTTCATTATCCTAAAGGCCAAGTCACTGCAGATCCACCAGGCATCGAAACCTAAGAGGGTGGCACAAACGCTGCCACACACCGACAGAGACAGCAAGGTGTGCTCCGCTCCTCAGGAACGCTGCCAGTGGCAGCAATGTCCCCAGCTCTTCAGCAAGAGGGACAGCACTTACCTGCGATGTAGGTGTTCAGCCCATCGATCTCCACCACCTGCTGACCCAGCGTGTGCCGACCCGGTGCCAGCCCCATGCCAGCGATTGCATCTGTCACCAGCACCAGCCCTGCGGAACACAAGGAAAGGGGCTTGTCAACACTGCTGCTGATTTTGTTGCAGCTCCAAGCACTGTGCCCTGTTGACCCTCCCAGAGAGGAACCACATGTCTCCAGCCACATCGCACCAAAGCAAGAGGACTGAGGGATCAGCACATGTGGCTGTGACCTTCCAGACCGCAAGGGCAGCACAAATGTCTTCTGGGAGATGGCACAGTGCTCAGAGTGGCTGGTAACACTGTGGGGACTGCCATGGCTCACCTTTGGGGTGGGCTCGGTGGGCAATGCGCAGGGCAGCGGGGTTGGTGTGGATGCCATCAGAAATCATGCCATAGAACACCCTCCGCCCAGCAGGAATCTTGTCACTTGTCAGCAGCCCCACAATGCCAGGGTCACGGTGGTGGAACTGCTCGAGGGGAGAGAGGGGACAAGCTGTGGAGGAGCAGGACACACTGGCTGAGACTTCACTTCAGGGGATCCAGCTGCCAACTCTATCACACAGTGCCTGGCAGCTTTACCAGGCAAACCTGGGCATTGCCTTGAATCACAGAATCACAGGATGGTTTGAGTTGGAAGGGACCATAAAGCTTATCTTGTTCCAACCCCTGCTATGGGCAGCATCACTTTCCACTAGTACGGGGTGCTCCAAGCCCGTCCAACCTGACCTTAAATGCTTCCAGGGATGGGACAGCCACAGCTCCTCTGGGCAACCTGTGCCAGGGTCTCAGTACCCTCACAGGGAAGAATTTCTTTCCGATATTCCATCTAACCCTGCCCTCTGGCAGGGAGAAAACATTCTTCCTTGTCCTGCCACTTCAGGCCTTTGTCCAAAGTCTGTCTCCAGCTCTCCTGGAGCCCCTTTAGGCACTGGAAAGGGCTCTGAGATCTCTGGAGCCATCTCTTTCCCAGACGAACACCCCCAGCTCTGCCAGCCTGGCTCCAGTGCAGAGGGGCTTCAGCTCTTGGAGCATCTCTGTGGCCTCCTCTACACTCTCTCCAGCAGCTCCATGTCCTTCTGATGTTGGCCCCAGGGCTGGAGGCAGCTCTGCAGGTGGGGTCTCACCTGAGTGGGGCAGAATCTCCCTCTTCCCTGCTGCTCACACACAGGAGGGGGTCTGGGTGCACAGAGCAAGGGCATGTCCACCTCTCACCCACCAACACTTCCTAGTCCTTCTTAGCGATGAACTTCAAAAGTCTGCTACAGCCTTGACTCTCTTTCAGATCCAGCAGTAGGAATGTGAAGCCAGAGGTTCAGTGCCAAAACCTCATTGCAAAGCATGGTACAAAACCAGCTGGGGAGAACACAGACCCATGGGGAGCAGTAGAAAAAGCCCAAAAGCAGCCATGGAGGAGGGCAGGTGCCTCTGGGGACTCACCGGCAGCATGGCATTGAAGAGGTGAGTGATGAAGGTTGCTCCGTGCTGCACAGCCTCCTCGGCCTGGGACAGATTAGCCACTGAGTGACCTGGGAACACAGACCAACACCTGATTCCTCTGCCCATCTTTCTACTGATTTCCCTACAGGAGCAAAGACACTGCATCACTGCACTATGCTCTAATGGCCACCCTGGCCTGAGGTCTCAGGTGCAGACTCGACACAGATGTGTCTGGCCATGACCTGGGGGGACTCTGGGGGTGGGTGCTTACCTAAACTCCTTCAGTATTCACATCACAGCTGTCACAATGCTGCCTTGCTCACAGCATGTTGTCTTCAGGCTGAGTTTGAGGTCCAATGATATGCCTTTCTGCTGGTCTCACATACTTAAATGTTTTGTAGAGAATTATCAGAGGACACCCTCACAACAGTGGGAACTTTGCCAGGAAAACATATGGGAATCAAACTATCCAGAAAGAAACTTGTTTCCCCAACAGGACAGCAGCTCTGTGGGCTAACCTTGCTTTTCTGGAGTTGTTTATGTGGCTTTGGGATAAGAGATAGTCTGCTGTATGAATGCCCTTCTCACTTGAGGTTTAATTTCACCCTGAGTAACTCCCTCCTTTAAAAAACAAAACAAACTTCTTCAATGATCTGAGACAAAGAAGAGTTTGTGAAGCAAAGGAAAAGAAAAACACAGCCAGTTTTAAGTCAGAAGCCATCCAGATATTGGAGGGAGAGGTTTCTACAGTACTTCTGGTTGAAAAACAGAGTTATCAAACCGAAAGTAACCTTTGGAAAATAATTTCACCTGTCACATAAGGCCTAAAGCAGTGGAACTTCAGAGTTTGAACCCTTCCACATCATCAAACCTCCAACTAAGACTGCTGTTCTTCCCTGTGTTAGAACAGCACCTTGTGTTTACTGCAGGGACTCCTAAGTCGACACAAACTTTGGCCCTTGCCATGATAGACTGACAGCATCAAGCAGCGTCCCCATTTGTGACAGGTCTGTCACCTCCATCCAGAATCCCACCCTGTCCAGTTGCATTCATGAGACGCTGTTAGACATGCCACAGCCCCAGGGGAGGGGCAGCCAGAGCTCCCCTAAGCCCTGGGTGCCCCAGCCCTTACCCAGGGAGACGCAGATGCCCCGCTTGGTGAGCTCCCGGATCACCTCACTGCTCCTCCTCATTTCAGGGGCCAGGGTCACTATCTGGACACAGTCCAGGGAGCCATAGGTGGCAAGCAGGTCCTGGAAAGCACCTGCCTCAAAGGTGCGGAGGCAGTGCTCTGGGTGGGCACCCTTCTTCTCCTTGCTGATGAACGGCCCTTCCAGGTGGGCTCCTGTCCAAACAGGAACAAAGAACCATGACCCTTCCTCCCCCTGCCAAGGACCAAGAAACCTGCTGCTCCTGTCATACTCTTGCCATTTTTCTGCAGCAAAACATGTCCCAGGCAACTGTGAGCTCAGCACAGGGAAGATGCAGTGCTGGCCACTGGCCAATCCAAGCCACCCCACTGCCATTGGTCCAGGGTCTCCAAAGGGGCTCGAGCAGTGTGTGTACGAAGACAGAAAACGGTAAAAGCCAGGCACAGACTAAGGGAAAAGGTGCCCACGTGTGCATCCCTCCCGCTGAGAGTTCCAGCCCCTATTTGTACTCTGTAACTTCTTTCACCTCAACTGTGAGCAAGATAATTGCCCACCTAGAGTAGCATCACAGAGGGATGAATCCAC